GCACAAACGGAGCTTGCCAAGGCAGGGCTTCCACATGAGCTGTCAGCGTGTAGTTCCCATCTTGTGCAAAGAACAAGCCCACCTTATCTAAAGTATGGGATGTGAGACATGTCTGTTTGGTATGCCACGTGATGTTGCTCTGAGTTCTGTGAGGCTTGCATGGCCGCAGTGCTGGCGCATGAGGTGGCGCAGAAACAAGCCATTTGAATGTTTGTTTGTCTGGCGATGTGGCAGTTCATGAATTTGTCCGGTTCAACGGTTTGAAGGAAGGTTTTCACGCATGTATATGCATATATAATATAGTTGGAATGCATGATTTTTTCACACCATGAGGTAGCCGAGGTAGCCTGCATGTCGTGTAGCCGAGCGTGCTTGGGCAGAACCACGTCCGGCGGAACCCTGCGGTCGGGTGGAAGCCTCAGAGCCCAGCTGCTGATGCAATGCACAGGTCCTGTGCACAGGGTCTTTCAAGTCAGTACGTGGTGCAATTTGCAACTGCATGTTGCCATTGCAGTGAGCTGCATGCAGGCACATATGTCTATATATATAATTATATGTATATGTATATGTATATGTATATGTATATGTATATGTATATGTATATGTATATGTATATGTATATGTATATGTATATGTATATGTATATGTATATGTATATGTATATGTATATGTATATGTATATGTATATGTATATGTATATATACATATATGTTCATATTTATATACATAGATATATAGATAGATGCATGTAATTTCAACTGTTTCGCATTGTTGTCAGGTACAGCCCACTTGTGGCAGCTTCCCAACAGGGAGCACCCGCCAAAAGCTGAGATTTCGATCAGTAGTCGTTCCCGGCAAGTAATTGAACATTCATCCGTGCAGGCACAGGGATTTGAGAAGCACACGTCAAGCTTGCCCCTCTATGTGATCTGGTGCAGGTGCCAGGAACTCTGTCTCGAGCGCGCACTGAACCAAGACCTGGGGAACCCAGGCGCGGTTGCATCTTTCAGAGTAACTTCATTGTAAGATCTTTAAGTAGTCCAAAAGGAAAGTTTTTCTAGCAAGAACAGCAAAATTATGTTTAGTGGCTCTAGTTTTGGGGACTTCAACATCCAGAGACTCTGCAAACGGTTCCACCACGACTTCACGGGCTTTGCCCATGGTGCTGGTTGTTAGCCCATCCGGAGGCCACCAGGATCGGCCCAAGCCTTGGAGGACGGTGAGTGTGGTTCCTCTTTGTGAGCTCGGCTCATATGCTGCTGCAACGTAGCCAGTGTAGCGGTTGGTGTTTTTTTGCTTTTACGCTCCTCGTGTGTGTGTGTGTGTGTGTGTGTGTGTGTGCTTGCAGCTTGAACAGCTTCTTCAGGTGCACCTCATTGGCGGCTCACCGGGTCTCTCGCAGCGCCGAGCACCCAGTGGCACCCAGCACGCAGCGGCACCAGCACCGCATGGTTGGCGAATGTTTATGGCAGTTGCGTCTCATGGAACCTTGATCAACATTCACGGACAGCCGTGCTGGTTGGATCCGGCTTTGAAGACTTGTACCGTGGTTCTAGTAGGCGTGCACACAGGTTCGTCCAAGGTTTTGCAAGCCTCCCAAGAGCTCCTTTCGCGATGTGGCGATGTGCGGTGCATTGCGTAGCAAGACAAGCATAGTCAAGCTAACATCTTCAGATTGAGCGACAATTTGGAATCGATCCGAGCCAAGCACGCACACGCACACGCACACACGCTCACGCACACGCACACGCACACGCACACGCACACGCACACGCACACGCACACGCACACGCACACGCACACGCACACGCACACGCACACGCACACCCACACACAGACACACACACACACACACACACACGTCGGGCTTAGGGTTTGAGCTTAGGGTTTAGGGACACTACCGACAAGCTTGCATATTTAATTAACGCACAGGTTGACGGCTTCCTGTACCCATCATGATCCTAACTTGCAAGTGGCGAGGTCACAGCCTTGCGGTCGCTTCATCTGCCCTCCAAACCGAGCAGATGATGTCGCCTGGGCCTTTGTCAGCGCATCGCATCGGTTGCGGCCTAAAGGCCTAAACCCTAAACCATAAGCTGAAGAGGCATTGTGATCGAGTCGAGACGTCAGATAGTCACCGTGTGTCCAGGTACAAGGCCGTAAACTGTACACGAATTTGTGCAGCAGGAGGGGTTTCGTCAATCGATGTATGCTTGGACTCGGTTGTGGCTGGGTCCTGTCGCCTTTCTATTGTGGAACCCTTGGAAGCACAAGCCCAAGAATATAGTAGGTAACGTACTATGACCATATACACATATCTTTCGTATATGCCCTATGCTTCACATGGCGGTTCTCTTCAGGGCAGAGGGCAGCTCAGGGTATTTTTTTGTTGTTGTCGTTGTTCAGCTGATGCTGAGGAAAGCTCCACAACTCGGTCCAAAGCACGGGCCAGCGGCTTAGTTTCGAAGTCTCAGTGGGCACTATGGCATATGTGCCCTGGATTATCTTGAGTACGGATGACCAGGCATTGATCATGGGAGCAAAACGAACAATGGACGAAACTGCTCTAAGCAAACGCATTCTAACTGAAGTGAAGAGCTCTGGGCGAACATAGGCCTGCCGCTGGTAACCGATGGCCTTTTCACATTCCAGAAATCTGATCAGTGTTAGTTTGGAAGGACCTTGGCAGACGATGGATCACCAGGCTGGGCTGTGCATGTTCAAGGCGACCCTCTTAACCGTAGTACACCAGCACTAAGTTCACATCAAGCTCAGCTGCATGGCAGAATCCCCTTTTGTGGCAGGAGCTTCAGCACCCTCAGCTGCGCTCGTCGCTGCAGTCGGAGACCCATGCGGAAGCGGGCTGCGCAAATTCGGCGCAATCCCTGAAGCGTCTATAAATAGCTGTTGTTGAAAGGGTCGCTGTTGGCATGTCTACCAAAGCAAAGGTACAGCTCGCAGCCGCTGGCGCAGCTCCCACTGAGGATCCAGCTTCTGAGGCCTGCCCGAACTCAACATCGTTGTGTGACGCCCGGGATAGTCTCGGGATATAGTCTATGGTCTCGTGTATATACATATATACAATTCTAGATGAATGCATGCAGAGATATATATATATATATATATATATATATGTATATGGTACCCCCCCAAAGATCCAATAGTTTTATGCCTTATTTTTACGTCTTTGTGAGTTTTCAAGACTTCTTGAGAAGCCTTAAGAAGTCTTGACATATTGAATTTCAATAAGGGTTGTCATTATTGAAGCCCTTATTGAAATATTGAATTTCAATAAGGGCGGAACTGAGAACCAAGAACTAAGACTGTCAGGGACTCCTGGTCTTACTTCTTTGTTCTTAGTACCGCCCTTATGGAAATTCAATATTTCAATAAGGGTTTCAATAAGAGGTCACCCAAGAACTAAGAATCCAGACCAAGAGTCTCTGACAATCTTAGTTCTTAGTTCTTAGTTCTTGGTTCTTAGTTCTTAGTTCTTAGTTCCACCCTTATTGAAATTCAATATTTCAACAAGGGTTTCAGTAAGAGGTAACCTTCAATCAAACAACCAAGACAGCAACAAGGATTGCATGTGCCAATGTATAGACGTATGTCTGTCTAATCTTATGGCTGTACCAATATATGAGAAGGGTTTATGAAGACCGCGCGGGTCGCGGACAAAGCCCGTTGTCTCCCAACAGAGTGGAACTTGAAAAGGTATGATTCAACTTTCATGCAAGCCCCATTTGGGGTTGATTTAAATTCGTTTGAGTTTCTGAAGCCTAGAGCTATGAAGAGTGTCGCATGGTACATACTCTTCAGGTCAAACCTCGCTTGAATCCACGTTCCGAAAGCGTCTCTGCACGCCATTTTTGGCACATTCTTTGGCAGGTACCGGGTGTACCACGCCCCCGAGCCTTGTCAGGGCCAAGTGAGGCACAAACTTTGTCAGAAGTCTTCGAACAGAAAGAGAGATGTGCTGTGATCCATGTGCTGGCTCGTGCTCCAGGCTGTGAAGTTCTCACCAGTTCCGCAGCCCTGCCGGAATTTGAGCCCCGATTGGCGACCGGGGACGGGGGCCATTTGCAAGGGTGGGAGCACTTGCAATGCACAAACTAGGCAAAGCGGCAAGGTTAAGGAATCTTGGCATCCTCCTGGCCAGGCAGCCACAGCCAATACCGAATTCGCCTTTCCTCCGACCCGGACAGGACTGAACATCATGGAAAGTTGGTGGGGCTTCAGGCGCTTCCTTCAGTGGCTTCAGCTAAAGTTAACATGTTGGAGATGGTGTTGTACTACGTTTTGGAGTTGCTCACATCCACGTACTTCCCTGACAGCTGTCTTTCTCCAGTTTGAACGCACTGAAGTGTGACCAGAGGGATAACCCACGTTGGACACACTTGGCTTGACTCGGTTCTCAGCCACGTAGCCTCAAACTCAGAAATCCCAATGAGGGGGGCATCCATGCTTATTCGGAAAATGAGATGTGTGCTGTCGCCTCAGTTTCAGTTCGACCGGTGTGTTGAATCTCGACTTGGCACTAGCTGCCTCTGGAGAGTCTCTTTTCCCATTGCGCAGCCGTTAAGTCTAAGTGTTCAGGAATCTTCAGGAGCTCTTGTGGGTGGGTGAGTTTGCCTACTTGTCGTCGCTTCAATCAGGTCCTTTGGTTTGCTGTTGCTGGTGCCGGCAGCATCGCAGCAAGACGAGCGGTGTAATGGAGATCCAGACTGTCTTCGCCATTTGGAGGCCGTGACAGTGACCGATCGTGACGGGTCGTGAGACGGATCATGACAGACCAACCCTGAGCCCTAAACCCTAAACCCTAAACCCTAAACCCTAAACCCTAAACCCTAAACCCTAAACCCTAAACCCTACACCCTAAACCCTAAACCGTGAGCCCTGAACCCTAAACCCTACACCCTAAACCCTAAACCCTGTTCCTAGCCACACTGCTTCATGCTGCAGTGCAGGGCCTGGGCTTTGTCCAGCGAAACGTGCATGCGATGCGTGCCAAGCAGCCGTCACCCCTCCAGCAGGCGTTTTATGAGGCGAGGCCGGGCCGGGTGGGGGCCCACCCGGTGGGCCGGGTGGGCTGGGAAGAACGTGCACGATGCAGATGCTGCTGGTAGATGTAGCGTCTTGTATGGCTGCAAGCTTATGTATCTTGTGGCGTGCATCTGGTTGCGATGGGTTGCGCGTCACACTATGTGTAGAGCACCGAGGTTTTCTGCTCCCAGGCCCCCTGGCTGTGCTCCAGCACGTTCGACTGCCTGAATTCCACGGGTATGCTGCCAACGAAAGAGGTGCTGGAGAAGCAGATTACAACATCCGGCCAGCCGAATTTGCTGTCTTGGTGTTACTTTCAGACCAGTTGGGACACGGTTGTGAAGAGTTGTCTGGTCGACCACGATCTCCTGCGCAGTGCTCGCCAGATCTTTCATCAGGCAGTGCAGAAGCATCCTCAAGAAGAAGCAGATGCGAGTTTTTGCTTCATGAACGGCCTTTGCCAAGACCCCGACCTCAGTGCAAATTCAACCCTCGCGGAGGCAACGAATGTCTGTGACCGACGGTATCCTGAACCTCAGGGCTGGAAGTCGATCGGTTTTGATGATCCGGCTTTGAAGGAACCAACGGGCAGCATGAAACTAGCTGAGGCGAAGGCGAAAGTGGCCTGTGCACAAGGCGGCTACCACTGCCAGGCTGTATACTGTCAGGAGACATACTGCAAGATGGACGAGTACAAGCAGAAGTTTGCCCACTACAGTCAGGAGACAGTGTAGGCGCTCACAAAGAAGTTTTTTGCGAACGCAAGCCGGCGACCTGCACCAAGTGCATCCTGACTCCACGGTGCCTGCTTGTACTCTAAGAAGTGGGGTTCATGATGATGGCCACGTGTCCGCAATCGGGTGTTTCACGCAGAACTTCGGCATAAAAGGGTGCAGGAAGCCTCTCGCAGTCCAGCTTCAGAGTTTTTGCTGGCCGGTTTTTTTGCTGACGTGGTCCCTTCAGGAGGCGCCTCTAAGTTCACAAGGCTTGGCAGCTTCCAGCCACTGATTCGGCTGATTTTTCTCAGAGGCTTTTTGAATCTCACGTTGGTCACATGCAGGTGGGAGGCGCCGGTGGGCATCCATGACTGAGGAGGACTCTTTCGCTCGATTTCTCCGAAGAATTGGATTCGGGGCTCGGTGAAAGATGGGTGTGGGCATGACCTGGCATGACCAAGTCTATAACAGTCTTCACGCCGGGGGGGGTTGGGTGGGAGTCTGCCTAGCTGCGAAGGAGCTCATGACTGGAGTCCGACGGTCTTCCAAGGATGCAGCAGACCCAGCAGCCTTTTCGCACACAATAAGTCCCCGGAAGTAGCGACGAGAGCGGTTGCATCTTGAGTTGCATCTGCTCTTTCTCAGTCCCTTGGCTCCGGAGGTGCATTCAGGCCTGGACCTGGCTGCATACCCATCTCCGGGCATGTCGCCAGCAGTCGCGCCCTGGCGCAGCCGCCAGGCCAATGACCGGCACTGACACGTAGATTCTGCGGATGGGCTGATGCTGGTACTCTCCTTGTTTTGTTTCATTTAGGCTTTTTCTTCCTCCCTCTCTCTCTCTGTTTCTCTCTCTCTTTTCTTTGTCGCTCTCTTGCTCCTGCGATCCTTCCTGGGCCAGGCCTTCGCTGCAGATGCAGGAGCCCGCCGCAGGCCTGCTAAGCATCGGGGTGTCCGTTTACGTCTGTCCAACTCTGCAGCCCGAAGTTCAGTGCCCTACTGCCATAGTAGTCTTCAAACCCCCTTGCTTGGCCGGTCAACCAGAAATGCTGGCCTGCCCGCGTGTTAGGCGTGAGACATTTCGGGCTGCGCCCATTTCTGCCAGATATTCCCTCGCAACCATGTTCAACAACTGCCAGCCTACACACAGTTCTTGCATGTGACTGTTGCTTTTGTAGACGCTTGCACGCGCCGCCTTGGCAGCCGGGCCGGCCCAAGCCATGGATGTGCACGTCGTCGGTGCAAGCGGCGCACCTCGGAGTTTCCAGTGCGCAATCGGACTGCCGATGCGGAACGCGACCGCGGGTCGACCCTTAAACCCGAAGCTTTGAAGGCGCAGCGTAAGCGAGCTTGGGGGACGCATGGGTTTGCTGAACCCAGGAATGCAAGACCTTTGATGCTTGTCTGAGCTCGTGTGCCTGTTGCAAAGTGCCCAGCAGTTCCCAGGGTTTGTTTTTGGTGGGACTGGCCCCCCTGCCCCTCCGGCATGGGACTTTTAGATTTCGGGACCGGGGAGGGGGAATCTGGGGGAACTGCTGGCAGAGGCCTCTTGGACGGAGGCATAACTCATCACTGTTGCTGTTGCTTTGATTGTTGCGATTTCAGTTTCATGACACTTGCGCAAAGATAGAGAGAGTCGCGAGGTGGGCCTCACTCTCGGACGATGAAACACAGTCGCCAATGCTTTGGCCCATGAGGTGCATGTCCAAGAGCCTGCATCGCTTTCTGCTTGCAACGGAATCAAGAATTTCGCTTGCAGGATTTGGAAGCATCTTGCAGTACCTTCTGACGTCGTGTTCTGCCAGTTGCAGCTGAGGTCACCTGTTCTACATGGACAGTCTGCGCCTTTCCAGATGAGAAGCCCTGATTCTGGATGTTGGTACACGCAACTAGCATTTAACATGACGCCGCCATGTGCCGAGATGTAGTGGTGCTGCAACGTGCACATTTGCCACTGTCAGGCAAATGAAGTTCTTTTTCTGACATGTCAGACCGTGAACAAGTCAGTTGACAACATGATGTCTTTAAGGTATTCTAGCATTCTCAACCGTTTTGCAACCAGTGCGGCACTGTTGAACGTTTCAAGGCGTGGAGGGCGTCGAAGCCACAGTGGTACGCCATTGATGGGACCAGGCCGGTTTTTTTGGGTTTGCATGGCGGTGATTACTGGGTACGAAATCGGTATCGATCGTATTCTTCTCGTTCGTTTAACACAGCAAGGCTCGATTCCGGGACTTGCAAAAGTCTCCGAGCATGCGGTGCCTCAGCAGCATCAAGTTTCCAGCTTCCGAAGACGGAAGGGCCACGGTCGGCTGGCGCATGTCTTGCGTTTGTGCTCTCAGCCTTGATCGATTGCGAGCTATGAAGGTCGCTGAAGAGGTGGAGGACTTCATGCTGCCGCCCACCCCGCAAGCACAGGCACAGATGCTGTGCTTGGACAGCCCTGTGCAACTGGTCTCTTTGGCGGAGGCCTCGCTGGGCACATCGCCAAGCTCGAAGCCCCTTGCCTGGCACAGGGTTTTGAGGCAAGACTATTGATCTCGATTGGTTTCCCTCGGCTGAGGCAAGTGCCCATGACTCCCGAGAACTTTCCGGATTCTTGGCATCGACTGGGGGGGGGGCTGTTGTAGGTGTCTCTCCGAAGTTGGTGTATATATATATATATAGATATATGTCTAACTTATATATACATACACATATATGCATGCCGATACGTCTTGTGAAAGCACAGATACCTTTCGTTTCGCATGTGACATCCCGAAATGTTTCCTGAGATGGCGTGGCCAAGCCCATGGGAGCCTGGTCCGATATCCGGTTGCGACCAGGCACACGGTGAACAAGAAATCGCAGCGTGCGATCGAAAGCGAATGCTCACAAGTGAAATGGGAGATGGCAGCCTTGGTTAGGCCATGGCTTCGCAGTGGCAGCAGCAGTCGTGGCCTCTGAAAACATTTTTTTTTCCGATTTTCGTGCGGAGTTTGCCCAGGTGGATGATGCGGCAAGGCGACCCTCAGTCCTGGCCACCTTGGTCTCAGGTGCGAGTTGGCTTTGACAAGTTGCTCACTCGAGGATCTTGAAGAGGTGCCGATGTCCACGGGCCTCGGGGACATCACTGCTAGGATGCCGTAGAAAGCCGTAGCCGACAGCCTTGCACAATCGGCTAGCAGAGAGCCGACGCTCGGATTGCGACAGTTGAGTTTGAAAGCTCGTTCCGTCCTCGGCCTCGTCGGGCCAAAAAGCTTCTGTTTCTACAGCTCTTTTGTGCAGTCTGCCTTCGATTGTTGTTTTTTCAGATCCTATGAACACGCCTTGTTGTTGAAGCATGTGCAGCCTTGTAGTTTGTGACGTCGTTCTAAAGGATCCTTTTCCAGGTTCCCCTTCAACAACTTCTTTGTAAATGATTTGAAAACCACCCCCCTGCTGCTGGCTGACTTGGTGAGCTCTCGACTCTCTCCCGGTGGCAGGCGAATGGCTTGTACCCACTGGCACCTCAGGTAGCTGGAGGCGCAAGAAGCACATGCGGGTCCAGGCATGTTGGGAGTTTCGGTGTGATTTCATGGGCTCTGCTGTTGCGTCGGGCAAACACCCGCAATTATCTTTTGTTGTTGGTGAATGTTTTCTTTGGGGCGGGCGGGTGATTGAGTGAGTGCCAGTGAGTGTTTCCCTTACCTGTAGACTTGAAACAGCAAAGCGCACCGCATGGACAGAGGAACTACCCAAAAGAAAACGAAACCCAGGGGGGCGAACTTATTGCCTTTTGGGCCCAAAATTTCTTGTTTCGGCCCAGAAGCACCACTCGAAGGGAAAACACATGAAAGGAAGGTGTTGGATTTTATAAGCATGTGTTTTCTGTTTGCTCGGTTTGCCCGCCCAATAATACAGATAAGGCTTCAAAACGTCTGGATTTCATCTTTAGCTTTGGGCGGTCGAGTCACCCAGCTTAAGTTTTCTTTTGTGCGACCACAGGCGAACAGAAACAGGAAAATGTCCGACGCTAATGAGGGTCCGAGGAGACCGTCCAGGAGACCCATCCCAACGGTTTCCAGCCAACAAAGCAAGGGAATTCGCTTCTCACGTACCTTCTCCGCCTTGAATAAGCCTTCTCGCCCTGCATGGGAATGAGAGGGAGACTTTTTCTGCGCGATAAATTCTCACAATTGTTTGAACTCCTGTGGCCGCCCCTCTTGCTCTGCTTTCATTTGTATTGCCCACCGTCTCAGGCTTTCCAGCCTCGCTCTCAGAAAAGTCTCTGCGCATCTCTGCGTGCTCTTCGTATTTGCTTTAAGAGCTTCTTTGGAGCAAGGCGAATTCTGACATCAACAGCTTCGGCTGGGCTGGGGACCTAGCTGGTATCATCTCGTGTCATCTCACTAGAGAAGTGATGGCAGGCAGCAGTCGTTGAGTTTAGAGGTTCCGATGGGAGCTGGCGCCAATGACATCACGCAGGAAGCGGCTAATAGTCATATGAAAGTCATGTAAACCCTTCACTTGCTCCGACTTGCTCAGCAGGCACAGCTCTGGCTTGGCCAAGAACAAGCAGTGCTTGAGCAGCGTGCAGCCCAGTGAAGCCCAGTGAAGCCCAGAGAAGCAAAGGGATCCGTCAGCATCGTGCATGGATGCATGCAAAGCTTGTTTTTGCATCGTTGGTGGACGACGCAACCTAAAACTGTCTCGACCCAGGCAGCCATCAGCCGACTGGCTCGTGCCCTAACATAGGGCAGCTCTTTGTCTTTCTTGCACTGCGGGCACAGAGAAGAAACTTCAGGGTTTTTTGGGACCGCTGCAAACTGTTCTGGTCTTGCTTGCCTCTGTAGATTCCCCAGTGCTGCGCAATTTGACACTCCGGTGTTGGAGTGGCGGAACTCAGGATGCAGTTGCCACCCGAGCCCAGTGGCTCCTCTGCTGTTTGCTCCCTTGTCGTGGCCCTGGTGTGCACAATTTGTGCTTCGGTGCCCCCTTCCGCGATGTCTTGCTTTGGGTCGAAAGCCCCAAGCCGCTCTGAGCCGATCTAAGCCACATCTGAGCCCATGTAAAGCCCTATTCTGTGACAAGGTTTGGGTCGGAGAGCGGGCCTTTCGAGCATCCGTGCAGCCAGCCTTGTTTACCCAGTGGGGCACTTCTTGCGAGTGATCGATTTGGGTCCAGAGGCCAGAAAAGGGCCCAGCAGATCAACCATGCGTGTCTTCAAGACTACTGATGCCCCAGCGTCCCTGCGCCTTTCGTGCTCCGGGCTCTTGCCTGGCCGCAGGCTGCGGTCAAGGAGCAGATCGAGAACCTCGGCTTCTCGATCAAAGTGTACAGGACATCCCAGCTGTGTCTCTGCAACGTTCCGGAACCTGCCGAGTCAAGCCATGCCGATGCTCACGCTGCGCGGAGGAGCCATGACCGTTGCAGCCGGATGCTGGACAAAAAGAGCGACTTGGAGTACGATCAGGAAGACGTTCCTACTCGCTACTGTCTTTGTGGCTTCCCTGGTCTGTCCAGACCCTGCAGTACCGACACTGAGGTGCCCTGGCCTCCCACTCCGTATTCATCATTTCCGAGGTGAGCACAAACGGGATCATGGGGAGCAAGCGCCCGCAAGAAGAGCTCTTGCGTTCGTTTGGCGGGTGGAGGGATGCAGATGTGGCATGAGAGTCCACGATAAGTCGACGGAACAAGTTGGATCTTGAGCACGTAGTCTTGTGGAGCCCCTTGAAGTTAGTTAGGTTGAGTGTTTGGCGCAAAATGGTACAGCCATTATATCACGCAACGGCAGTATACATAATGTAGTTTCCGATTTCTGAGGCATTTCACGAAGTCACGGGCTCCTGTTGTTTGCCCAGGCTGATGCAAAGCCCATGCTCCAATACCTTTGGGGCCGCTCTGCGAGTGGCGTCCGAGTGCTGGTGCGCCACAGTCGCTAGTTGCATCGGGCGTTCCAGGCATGATATGAAGTAAGATTGTGATTATGGTTTGGTGACTGCATGTGCAGTACACATAGACATATACGTACTTATATGTAGATATACGTATATCTATATATATGTATATATACATATATATATATATGTATATATATATATATATGTATACACATCTTTTCGAGGATACGAGTAGCAAAGGCTCCACGCCACGTCGCCGGTTTTGCAGGTTTGCAAGTCTTTACATGTTGCCAACACAACGGCCGTGAAGACCGCGCAGCCGCGCAGCTGTTTTGGCACGAAGCGCATATCTCCATCTCCCGGTGCGCAGCCTCCGTGATGCATTGCCACGCCACTCAACAGCATGGAATACCGACACCTGGGTTCGGATTGTCTACAAAGCTTCCTGTCTCCTTTTGTGCATCGAGGTTTCGTGACGCCTGTTTTATCGTGTAATTGTCATGTTGTACCCCTTCCTTCAAATCACGTCGCTTCTTCGTTTTCTTGATGTGTGGTAAGTCGCTTGGATTCCTCACATCCCCTCTCCCCCTTTGTCTGTCTGGGGCACAAGGAATGGTGGTGGCAGGGAATGTGCAGTACGTCAGCTTTGGTGTTTTGCCAGTTATCTTCCATCACGTGACCGGTTACGCAGACAGATTCTGATGAGTGTGCAGATGCATCTCAGGACTCCCTGCTGCTTACAAATGTGCCACTCGTACGGAGAAGAACTCAGGCCTACTTCCTCAGGGACTGCTGCATCGTGTTTGCAGTCTTATCTGCCTTAAGAATGAAGGCCAACACGGCCTACACCTTCGACGCCTCGAATGGAGCTGGGTGCTGGGATGTACAAAATACACCGGTCTGCAGCGGCTCAGCACGAATCAGCTACCATGTCCTTAAGTGTCGGGGAACCAAGATGCTGTCCGCGGCTCCATCGCCACCTCCGCTTCAGCGCAGCTTCAGCTTCGGGTCTCTTTTTAGGCCCAGGGAGTTCGCGGTCACGAGCTGCGTTGTCGGATTGCATGTGCGACGGACAAGTGGGCGAATTCTGAAATCTTTCTGAAGAATCTCAAGCTGCCCAAAGCTCGTCTTAAGCTAGTCGGCCTGCCTCGAAGCCTCCGGAAGCCTCTTCGGAAGCCTCTTCGGAAGCCTCTTCGGCAGCCTCTGCAGGTCCTCCTTGCCGGCCGTGAGCTCCGAGCCGCCGAAGCCGAGCTCGCGCCGCTGCTCGGAGTTGCCCAACGTGAGCGTGGAGGCGCGGAAGCTTGTGGAAAAGATATCTTCGGGGGCCTTTTTTGGTGCCCTTATCCTTCATCGAGTATACCAGCAACCTCCGAAAGGGCTCCGAATTTACATCTGCCCCTCCCGGCCCAAGGAAAGGAACTCGAAGGCACATGAAGTCATGAAGTGAGAGTCAGCGTGGAGCTTGTGTAGATGTGGATGAGTCATACGAATGTGTCTTTTCTGGAGAAGGTGAGAGAGCCAATTGGAATATGAATATGTATTCCGGAAACAAGCGGAGAGGCGCGTGGAAAAGCCGAAGACCATGTATCCACTGCAGTGCTTATCCCACTGCCAACAGCAGCTGAATCATCGCGATTGGCCACGGTAAGCCTCAAATTCAGACAATATGCGGGCCTTCCATCATTGATCGTACCGCTTTCCACTTTCCACGTCCCATATATTCCAATGGGTGCCTGGCACCGGGGGTTTCAGCTATCGATGACAGTGCAGGTAGAAGCGCCTTTTCCTGCTAACTTTTCAGACGCGCAGACGAGTGAACAGTGAGAATGTTCTTAACTTTAAATCAAACTCACCCCGGCCGCCGTCTGCCCTGCGCATGACCGACCACTGGATGAACGGGAATAAGCATGCCAGGGCTTCCTTTCCTTGCGCCGGGAAAGTTTGCAGGATTTTATGGGCCCTGATTCTCCGCATGTTTGTGCGTGTTTTTTGGCCTAGAATTTGTCTTTAAGGCGCTGCTGGCCCGAAGCTCGCAGCGGCGGCACACGTGGCTCAGACGCAAGGAGACAAGCGAGGGTCAATGCGAAGGCTTCTGGATTGTGACCCGCCATGCCAGCAAGTCGGTGCTAAGCGGCGGTCATCTTGCCAAGAGAGTCAAAAGTTCGGGTTTTTCGCAGGGCGCATGCCGTGCCTTTCCCTTCTGAGGGACCCTGGGCGGAAAGTACAGCTGGTTTTCCACGGCCCGCAAGGCATGGGCGCTCAGACACATCGAGGACAAGTTGTCAGTCAGGGGTCTGAAGACAGTTCCGAGTGGAATGCCGAGGTGGCCGCCGGCCCTCCCTCATAGACCTCTCTATGCCGTTGCCGGTGGTGGGGCCTCCGACGTCGGGGCCCCAGGGGCAAAACAAGAATCCGGGGGCAAAAGCAGGGCAAAACAAGGTAAAGCGAAACTCCGAGAGCGCGATTTTTGCATTGCTTTCAGGTCGGAGCCCCCTGCAGAGAAGCCCAGGGCTTGCGCGGATGAGCCGCCAAAGAAGCTTGTGGACACAAAGGAAACACTGGCCCCGCCAGTGGAGAAAGCCAACAGTCCACGGGCTAGCAGGCGGGGCCCATGTCATCCCATGTCCAAGACGAGGTCCCCAAAATATCAGAAAAGCCTGACCCTACAGTTCCTGCTGTGAGTTCCACGGGCCGTTGGCCTGCTGTTCCTCCATGTTCTTTGATGTGGATCGCGGACTTGTTACGAGTGTGTCACAGACCTATTGATCTTCGAATCCTTGCTCTTAAAAGGGACACCACTATGACGCCGAACTCTGCAAGCTTGGCGTCCACTGGCGCAGACTCAGGAGACGTGTCAGTGCAGCTTTACGTAGCAGTTCCAGGTTTTTGCACGTGTACTTCGCATGTGTCTATGCCAAGTCAAAGACAATACGCGATATGTGAAGGGGCTGGATGGCTGTTGGCATGTCTGACATCCAGGATCGGACACGCCAAAGCAGGTCCGTTTCCGAACTACAATTACCGAATGTGAGGCGAGTGCCTGAGTGTGTTCAGCACCTTCAGGTGAAAAAATCTCACATGACCAAACTGGCTCCAGGTGAGCACCCCTTACGGAGTCATCTATGATGGCATTCGCCCCATGGACTTTGACTTTGACCGATGGGGTCGGAAGGCACAGCTTGAGCTTGTCTTCTTTTGACTGCTTGATGCTTAACGTCCCGATGTCAGATCTACCACTTCTTTCCGAACCCCGAGGACTCAGAGGCCTCCGAACCCTTCAGGGCTGTTAAGTTTGTGAGTCCTCAGTTGGCCGTCAGGATGATGACTGAGATGGCTGCCGCCGTGAGGAGCTTCCATTAAAGTTGCATTGGGTCACTTGAATGTCACGTGCGCAGTCGAGCAGCGAGCCTCCCACTTTCTCTTCAGTTGCTCGCCAACACCCTCACATGTGGTTCGAGAAGGTCGGCCTTCCCAACCAACTAGAGAGGTTCAGTGCAGAGAGGTCTTGAAAGATAGGATGCGAGTCCTGTGCTGAAAACCAATAACGTCTTCGAAGGCTTCCCGCTTCCTCCATGAGCAATTGTCCAATTCTGCAGTAACTTCGTTTCCCGTCTTCAGAGCATTACACGGTTGTATACGCTAGCAAACAGACGCGCTGAGCATTCATCACCACGTGAGCAGAGATTCGCAGCGATCAGCTTTCATGCTTGGAATTGTGCAGCAACTGACAGGACTATTGATGAACGGTGCGCAGAATTCAGCTTTCCCTGCATTGCCGATTCGACAGACTGTGATGGATGCAGAGACCACTTTTGCCGAGTGCCACGTAGGAGTATACCCGAAGCTATGTTGGAATGGAAGCTGTCGACTCGAAGATCGGAGTCAAGATGTTGTGAGATTGCTCCGCCTAAAGGGCCAGAGCTATATTGTTTAAGGGTTGCCTCATTGGCTGTCCACATGAGCTTGAAGACAAATTGCGGATGAGTAGGTATGAGTAGTACCGCTCGTCAAGGATACAAGTTCCCCTGGGCAGCTGGTGCTTGTGACAGGGCCCCTAGCATCCAGGCTCCATCGCTTGCTGCGATTGGTGTATGCCAAAATTTGTCGTGCAGCGTGAATCGGCAGAAATTTGGGCACCTGCTTCCGGATCGAACCAGACGGGATGCTCCTGATGACATGAGAGAGGGCTTAGATGCTGGTTTGCCCACACCAGCTCCTATAAGTTCTTCAAGTCTTCGGAGCATCTGGAGTACCGCGTCCTTGCATGATGCGAAAGTGTCGCAGCGCACTTGTACAGGCCTTCACAGGGTTTTGGCAAACGCGTGCCTTGGGGAGCCTTCCAGCTCCTTGCCAGGTAAGACTTGCCCGTCTCCCTGAGCAATTCGATGCATCGGTTGCTGGGATTCTGATGGATTCTGCTGGGATGTCGCCGCCAGCGCTCTCCGCAGGACGGTTGCTGTTGAAATCTGCACCTACCTCTTCACCTACATCTACTTGCGAGATCTCGCGAGCGCACTTCGACAGCTCCTGTTGCCAGTGCAGGCCTCTAAACTTGCTGGAGGTGCCGTTTTGCGGTGGACATCCCCGAATGTCCCAGAAGCGTTATGAATACTCGGAAAAGATCTTGGATCAGCTTCTTAGCTCGCTTCCCCGCTTCAAGATCTGACCTCCAACTCATTGTGGCGATCGGTTCCAGGTTGACGCAGAGGGTTTTTCGGCGCAGCAGGCGCGCTGCAAGATGCATGGTCGTCACATACTTCACCCAAACCCGAAGATCGTTGATGAGCATCGTTGTTCTTGTCTGTATAAAAGTTGGCAGGTCTGGGAACTGTCGGAGGCATTCCCAGAACTGGAGGTGGAAGCTTGGGAGCTTTGATGGGCTTTGCCGGGTTTGTCAGGATGTGCCTAGGCGGCCAGGCGTTCGCCGGGGTAACCTGTCAGGACACCTCAGTGCGCATCTGCGTTTCCTGGGATGAGGCCCAGTCTCTGCTCGCCTTCAGAAGTTGACATCGATACAGCGCGCTACTTGAGGTCTTGCATGTCAGTTCATGAGTCCTTCTACTTGAATGACATGCGCCTAGTTACAGCTGCCTGGCTCTGCTTTTGCTGAATGCTGTTGTCTGCTGCAGCTTTTGGCATCCCTCTGCGAGATCTACCATGAGGCACGCTTGCCAGGGCTGTGCCGGAGTGGACATGGGATCTGGGATGAAGCGTCAGACGCAATCACCGCATCAGTGCTACCACCTCAATCCACCCAGGATTTTTTCACCCCCCCCCTCCCCACGCAGACACATACATTATGCTACGCGACACATCCATGCCGACAGGGAGCGTTGGGCGGCACCCCGGGATGGGGATTCACTCTTTAGCCGCTGAGCGCACGAAAAGTGACCAGCGGCAGGCTCCACGAAACCCGTTCGCCGCCGTCTCGGCACCGGCCCAGAGACCATCGGCCCGATCCAGGAACGATCATGGACAACAACAAGTCACACGGACCCTTGCCCTGGCCTTCGCACGTAGATTTCGTCACTTCATTCAACATGTCAGCGTAGTTAGATGTGGATGCCGCAGGGTCGAACGTAGCCAGGACATACAACAACACCCTATATTTGTCCTTGTACAGAAGGTCGGGGCCACAGGACATGCGACAGCTACACCACCCGGCAAACGAATCTACGACCTCTACACTCATTCATCCATCTCTCCATCGGCTACTCTCTTTTCCAAAAACTTTACGCCGTATGCCGATCGTGAGCATGCACAAGATCGGTGGCACTACCCTCAAAAAAGCAGCGTGGAACTTTTGTGGATATCAGGGTCAGCAGCATGTCTTTGTATCGGCTCCACTAGCTGAAAACGGAGCAGTCCATATTCTGGACGTTTTGGTCCGGTTGAAAGAACGCGCTTAGCTTGGAACCTGTTCGGGCCGGAAAGCAGGCTAACCTGGGTTTGGATGGAGCGCCCTGTCTTCTGCCGTGGCAGTTTGGGAGTCCAACCGTGTTTCGCGGGTTCTGTGGACTAGAAAACCCCGCCTAGAAGGCTGTTTATCTTGGCCTCGGTGGTGCAGCAGCGCGGGCCCTTTCTTCTGACTTAAGCTCTGTCACTCATCCTGCTGAGCTGCTGTGTAGGACAGAGGAGCCGACCATAACCGGCCCATGTTGATCCGAGGCCAGTACCAAATTGCAACCTGCAACCAGCTCTGTCCGGGGCGCCCGGTGAAGGTATGTCTTGCCCATTCATCCTTGCTTGCCAGTACTACTTAGTACGTATTGCTTGCTCTCCGTACACCTGGACGCCGCCAAATCGGGCTTGCAAATCCAGCAAAGCGTAGAGCTTCGTTCTAGGTGACACAAGCCATGTCTTGTGACTTTCCAGTACTTGTTTTTTTTCAGATCCTGCCCCGCATGCTCCATCTTGTGCCCGTGTTGTTTGCGGATGAGTTGCTTGGGGTCCTCCTGGCTCGCTTTTCAGCAGACGCAGAGCGTTGTGGTTTTCTGGCTTCGCGCATCTCAGCCACTGTTTCCTATTGCTTCCTTGCAGGTCAGCGCTGTTGGAAGCAATCGCAGACGGAGATGTGCACCGAGCGAGCCAGGTGCCACCTCTGCCACTGTATGACCTGATGTCCGTGTCTTCTTTTCCGCTGTCGCTCTCATTCACGTGGGGAACATCTGTGTTCCCCGTGGGGCTTTGCCTTAGACACAGCTCCTCCTGGCTCACCAGATCATTGCTCGTGGGGCATCTGTGGATGAGAAGAGCAAGGCGATGCCGCGGTGGCGCATGGAAGAAAACGCACCGGCATTGAAGTGAACGGTTTGCCATTGAAGAACAGCCTCAGGCCGGGGAGACTGCCCTGGTCCTGGTCTGATCACCAAGAGCTTGAAATGCCTTTTACCAGATGTAGCCGCAGTGCAGCAGGGATGCCGTCCGTCAGTGAGGCCACTCGAGCAGGTTACATTGACGTGGTTGAGGCCTGGTAGTGGCAGAGGCAGTTCGGGGTCGGAAAAAGAGCACGGCACAACTTGTGAGAGCCTTTCTGCAGGAGCTGGTCCAGCGTGGTGCGAATGTAGAGGCACCTTTGCGACATCCTGCAGCTTCCGACTGGAGGGTTTGGTCAAGGTAGCGGCAGCTAACCTCCCATACTACCCAAGCCACAGTCTGTTGCCTGTAATATCGTGGAATTTCTCGGTGTCCTGCATGTCATGCTTTCATCCGTATGGGCCTCTTCTTCTCTGTATTAGGGTTCGAGAGTCGCACAGCGTCAGGTGAGAGACCGTCAGCGCAGCTGGACTCCTCTACACATGGCATCGGCGAAGGGGGGTGCCAAACATGGACGGTTTATTGATGTCTGCTTGCACGCGCTGGCAGACATGGAGACATGCACATGCAATCTCGCTCAATTTCGTACGGATGGCCCACCTTGCTTCAGGGCTCCCAGCCTCTTAATTAGTTGCGCATCTCATTCCAGTGCTGTACCTCACTTGCCCTTGAGCCTCCTGCACATCCTAGCCACGCTGATCAGGCCCACAGCCACCCTTTGAAGAAATGCTCTAGCAGCACGGAATGCGAAAGTTTGCCTGCCATGAATTCCGCCTTGCACCTGGTTCGGCGGCGGCGTGCACGTCGAGTGGTACCTTGGTGCCTGATGGCTGTTGAGCACCCCATACCCTGCCAAACCCTGCCGAGCCCTAAAGGCCATAATCCAAAATACTTCAGCTCTGATCATGATCCCAAGCGTGCAAGGGCATCAGCGTGGAGGATGGACGCTGATCTGCAGTGTTTTGATGAGTTTTGGTGTGCGTTGTAGGGCCTTGAAGGGCTTCAGAAGGCCCAAGGGAATGCTAAGGGCTTACGTGGTTTAGGGTTCATGCCAAGACCGAGCACTCAAGTCAGGCACTAGTCAGACTCATGTTCGTGTTGCTTGGGAAGCTCAGGCTTCGAGCGGCTTCTGAGCAGAGACTCAGATGACTGCTTCTTTCGATCGGAGACGCAGCCAGCCTTCTTCGCGCAGCAAGATCCGACCCTTGGTTTGCCTGTTATTCCTTTTAGAATGTCCGTATGTCTGAGCAATTCTGAGCCCAAATTTGTATAATTATGAAGTTGACTTGCTGATTCCTTGAGATGCTGAAAGCCTAAAGAAGCCTTATTGGCCAGGACTAGCTCAGAAGTGTCAGCCTGCATTCTGGGCAACTCTTCTGGGCCAGGCCTTCTTTCTGAAAGATGGTGTCCTGAATCCCAGGATGCTTGCGCATCTACAAATTGCCGCCCTGGCGAAGAACTTGTCCATGCTGGACAGCTTGGAAGAGGATCTTGTCAAGGCTTTCAGTGCAGATCTCAAGAGGGTCATGAGCAAGAGGCATCATGTGTGAGTGGAACGCTACGTAAGTTTCCATACCAGAACTGCAAGAGTGTTCGAGATGACCACAGCGCAACTCCTACATCTCCTTCTGCCAACGCTGCCCGCGCGGCACAGCGTGACACGGAGCGCTCGCACTCTTCGAAGTCATGGACGCGGAACAATTGCACTCCACGTGTTTGGGCGAAATCGCACCTGCAAACTGCACATGTCTGTGGCCACCCAATGGTTTCGAATTTCGAAGTGCCCAAGAGAAGAGGTAGAGAGCGGGAGAGTGTGCAATTTGAGGGGCTTCTGGGAACATTGCTGCTTTCTATTTTGAGCGAGCTGACTCTGCTTGAGCGTATGCTATCAAAGCGCAATCATTTGCAGCCTCGCTGCTACCTTCAAAAGAGGCCTCCAAGATCCTCCAAGGCTTCTCGCAGGAACGATGTGCAGTCCACCGCAGCACTGCGAGGCATTGGATGACCTGGAGACTGCTGCGCACCAAGCACAGCTGCTGCTTATCTGCAAGTTTAGTGCGACCTGATGTCACTTTGACCTAGCACATCTATAGTCTATAGCCACTGGTAGCAAATCGAAGAGCAGCCTATATCTTGGCTGCAGCAAGCAGATGTAGTTGCCTCCCTTGCATGACCCAGCAGCATCGTGATCGCCGTGCGCTCTGGGAATTTCTATTTCTCTCTCTGCCACTCTCTATCTGGTCACTTTGCAAATGATAGTCCGGCACCCTTAGCATGGACTGCTGTCTGCAGGATCTGTATGCTTGCGTATGCTTTCTGGTCAGAGCTTGCGCCATGTGAAGGTCCCAGCTCAGCTCGATCTCCGCAGCCTGCAACTTCCTCCGTCGCCAATTTGGGGGCCAGAGCTCGGAGGTCACTGCTTTTGCGCTTTTGCTCTCGTGCTCAGAGAAGCCTCATGACATGTCATGGATTGTGCAGATAGTGTAGCAAAGTATAAACGACAGCCTTGCAAGTGCCGTTGTCTAGCGTTGTCTAGGCTATAGCGCCGATGATGGAGCCACTTTTAGAAGCCACCGAGTTGCTTGGCAGTCATACAGAGTCATGCTGAGTCATACTTTAGCATCCCTGCGTGGAGAAAGTCCTGGTTTTCCGGGACGACGCCCGTCCCAAACCAAAGACCCCGCATCCAAAGTGCGCCACAATCCATTCGCCGTTTAGAGCTAAAGGGCCTGGCCACGAGAACAGAGTTCTCCCTTCTCGCATGTTCCCTGGTTTATTGCGGACCAAACCCTCATCTCCCTTTGCAGAATTGCAAAGGGAATCAAGGAGACCTGACATCATATGACTGATTCTTGTGCTCTGTTGCGGGCCCTCATCCACAAGATCCTTTTACAAGTGCATACAGCGGTTTCCGCAACCTGACCCGAGGCGTACCTCCGTAGTGGCTGTGAAAGTGCTTGCAAACCTAAGGGAGCGAACCATCCTTTCACCGCGCAAACGCTCCACGGAGCAGCGGAAGCGCTTTTTGAGCACCTTGGAACGAACGGTGCGTTCCATGTCTAGGAATCGAAGAGCTTTGAGTGATCGTGTCTCATGGAAGTGATTTGCAAGGCCTTCTGGCCGATGCCCAAACGTATGCGAAGCAGCACCCGGATCAGGATGGCTGCTTGGATCCGATAGTACAAAGTGATCCTTGCCATATTGCCTATCCATTCCTTGGCCTTTGCCAAGGTATCGCTTTGTTCCAGCAACGAGTGACGATGGCGTCCGTCATTATGTCTGATGTTCAGCGCCCTGCGCAAGTCCTATCTGCAGTGAAGGATGCTCAGTGAAAGCCATGATCACATCACAGAAGAGGGCCGAGATGTAAAGCCATGCAGGAGATTCGGCGGCTATTCCCTTTTGAAGTGGACCCCATGGACGATATGCCGATTTTGTCTGTGGCTCGAAATCTCAAAGTCGTTTTGTCCGGCGAACGCCCCCTCTCACTTGAGACTGGCTGACGACTTCACTTGTTGTCACACGCTTGTGACTATCGTGACTGTTGCTACTAGCTTGGGAGTTTTTGCCATGACCCAATTCCAGACAACAGCTTTCGATGCTTTGCTAATGCCTGATTCGGCGAAGTCAATTCTGGGGAGCCAGCAAAAGGTTGCTGCACTTGGGCACGTGCTGCAGCTTTCAGCATCTCAGGTCTATATGTGTTCACTGAGAATACGATGGTCTTATTATTTCCTGTGCCACGCTCAGTCCAGACAGTATGATCATTAAAATCATGTTGCGGATGGGCTATGATGACATGCTACTAAGGTGTGCGCTCTTCACGGCCCTGGCACTCTTCGCCGGCACAATCACAGAGCTTTTCTTTGCTGTGTCTGCTGCCCCAGAAAGTGCAATCCCACAAGTTCACATGCAGTCTGTGAATAAGCAGCGACACGTGCGATGAGGTTTGCTGCTGGGGGCGACATCAGTGTCGGCCGACAAGTGACCTGGCTGCACGTTGACTTGTCTGTTGGCAACAAGCTTCCGAAGTAACCTGAGCTTTTTGGTCTAGGGTTGGGACAGTGGAGATGCTAGTCCACCTTTGTGGACTGTTTGATGCACTTTAACTTCTAAGGCGATGCTAAGCTTGAATGCGGTTTGGACTTGCCAACAGGAGTGCAATTCCACATGGTTGTATGTACCCAGACCGACTGCGCTGCTCATGATGTTGGCACCTCTTCGCCTCGTCATCTGCCCGAGTCAGGTGTGGTTCAGCTTCTGGCTGTTGCCGTTTGGAGCAATGGTCTTTGCTCTCGTTGGAGACGAGATGGGGGACTTGGCCACAGCCTTGGAGCAACCGAAACCCTAAACCCCGAAACGTGAATTCCTAAACCCTGAACCCTAAACCCTAAACCTCAAACCCTAAACCCTAAACCCACAGACGAGGTCATCGACGCCATCGATCGGCCCCCCCTCCTCTGGTGCCTCGGCCCGGGGTTGCCACGTCCTGGAATCGCTTTGCGTACACGCGATAAGACCCTAAGACCTTGCACTGCTCCCCTAAACCCGAAACCCTAAACCCTAAACCCTAAACCTTAAACCCTAAACCCTAAACCCTAAACCTTAAACCCTAAACCCTAAACCCTAAACTGCCGAGAGCGCCGCTGTCCATTTACATGGCCGCTCGAGGCTTCGACCGAGGTCCCCGACCGAGCGTCTCCACAGAACGGTGAGGGAGGGTAAAGCCTCCCGGTCGACGGGGGCCTGCAGTGCCTGGCTACGCCTCAGACCCTAGGGCGTCAGCCCTAACATAATGAGGACCCCACCCTCAGCCATTGTCTGGTAGGTACCCTCCGCGGGCCTGGCGTCCCAGGCTCCAGGGACCCCCCTACCTCCTCGGCCTTGGGACCAACCCTGAAACCTCCTGCTTTCTGGCTGTCTCGCTTTTGGGACCTTTCTGGGACCTGTCTGGGATCTCCTGAAACCCCTAAAACTTTTTGGGACCCTTTGAGACCCTGGAAGGCACATTTTCTGGGGGCCGGTCCCTGCAACCTTCTGGGAAACTCCTGAAACCTTTCTGAAAATCTTCTGGGACCCCTTCTAGCCTTTGCTGCCATCTGCTTGGGAGCAGGGGCCGGCCGAGGCCCCTGCGACCCCCAGCCGTTTTGCTGTCCGTTGAGGACCCCCTCACACTTCATGAAACCGCAAAAGGCGGGGATCCAGGATTTGTCCGGACCCGTAATGAAACCGCCAGTTTTTTTAGTATTCAAATGAACGGTTTTTGAGCCCTTGCATTTTGCTCCGTGAAAGCCCGAACGAGGCCCACGAGCCACTAACATGCTCCCAAATGAGGCCGCTGGGACCCCCCCCTTGCTCTTATTCCTCTCTTACAGTTCTGAAAGAAGTAAAAAGCAAGAAAGCCCCCTCTTGAGGGGGGTTTGGGGGGTGAACCCTGAACCCTAAATGAGAATAGTTTGGGTGGTTGGGGTGTACATGCTAATGCAAGCGAGCGGCCCGGG